CCAAACTCCACCAATGTTCATATTTGGGCATATTGAGTTTTGGTGCCAAGTTTGGTCCAGATCCATCATTGTTTGAGTCCACAGTGCTCTCTGGATGTAGGTGAACTACAACTCCCAAAGTCAAGGTCAATGCCCACCAAACCCTTCCAGTATTTTCTGTTGGTCATGGGAGTTCTGTGTGCCAAATTTGATTCAATTCCATCGCTGGTGGAGTTCAGAATGCTCTTTGATTGTAGGTGAACTACAAGTCCCATCAACTACAACTCCCAAATGACAAAATCATATTTTTTTGAGTGATGGTCACTCCTTGTGTTGTGAGACGTTTTGTTACCAAATTTGGTGTGATTTCGTTCATTGTTTCTTTTGTTTTTAAGGTACTCATGACGCACAGAGCACTTTTATATATATAGATATTGAAATATATTATATTCATCCACTAGCAATGCTAACAATATAGCCATTTTAGAGCAAGCCTTGCCAATAAGGAGTTATGGAAGAACTGTGTCCAATGTAACTCATTCCTTTTGGGAGTCTAAACAAGCCCGGTTACAATGAAGCCACGGATATTTACAAACATCCTAAAGAGCGAGAGTGGAATTTGCTGTTTTGTTGTAAACAAGGCCCTTGTTCGTTGTCCCCGTTGTTTTGTTTCTGACTGGAGTTGTCTCGCCTTCCCTGACAAATGGTTTCCCTCAAAACACATCAAGAAATGCCCAAAAGTAACAGAAACGTATCAAGGGACAGATATATTTGTATTCTAGTAATACAAATAACTGCAAAAAAGCAACGGAACGAACCGAATGAATTTGGCACAAATTATGGCCCAAATATCAGACCCCTCCACAGCTTTTTAAATCTAAATGCTGTTTGGCCCCAAGATAAAAATATAAATATATTTTATTGTCTTTATTATTATTTATATTCTGTTCTCTCTGAAAGACAACACAGGTCACTGTCTCTTTCTTTTAAGGTTATATGTTTACTTTAAGGTTATAATGTTAACTTATTCTTATTATTATTATTATTATTATTATTATTACTTTCATGTGGAATGCTTTAGTTCAGTGGTTCTCAACCTTCTTAATGCCGTGACCCCTTAATGCAGTTCCTCATGTTGTGGTGACCCCCCAACCAAATTTGGCACAATTACCCGATACACCCAAATTTGAATACTGGTGGGGTTGGGGGGGATTGGTCTGGAACATCTGGTAAAAAGGTAAAGGTTGTCCCCTGACCTTAAGTCCAGTCATGTCTGACTCTGGGTGTGGTGCTCATCTCCATTTCTAAGCCAAAGAGCCGGCGTTGTCCGTAGACACCTCCAAGGTCATGTGGCCAGCATAACTGCAGGGAGCATGGTTACCTTCCCACCAGAGCAGTACCTATTGATCTACTCACATTTGCATGTTTTTGAACTGCTAAGTTGGCAGAAGCTGGGGCTGACAGCGGAAGCTCATGTCGCTTGCTGGATTTGAACCTGCACCCTTTCGGTCAACAAGCTCAGCAACTCAATCAAAGAGCATTCTGATCTCCACCAATGATGTAATTGAAACAAACTTGGCACACAGATATCCCTTAACCAACAGAAAATATTGGAAGGGTTTGGTGGCCATTGACCTTGGTTTTGGAGCTGTAGCTCACCTACATCAGGCGAGCACTGTGGACTCAAACAATGATGGATCTGGACCAAACCTGGCAAGAATACTCAATCTGCCCAAATGTGAACACTGGTAGAGTTTGGGGAAATTAGACTTTGACACTTGGGAGTTGTAGTTGCTAGGATTTATAGTTCACCTACAATCAAAGAGCATTCTGAACTCCATCAAGCCGCAAGGGAGCCAAGTGAGCCTTCACACAAGCCCACCTTGGGCTCCTCCACGGCCTCGCCATTTGGCGAGTGCGCGGGGGAGCCCAGGGAGGGCTCGCGCGCGGGGGCGCCCAGGGAGGGCTCGTGCGAAGGCTGCCTCGGCTCCCATGGCTCCCTTGCAACCTCGCCATTTGGTGAAGCCGCAAGGGAGCCTTCACACGAGCCCTCCTTGGGCTCCTCCACGGCCTCGCCATTTGGCGAGCGCGCAGGGAACCCAGGGAGGGCTCGTGCGAAGGCTGCCTCGGCTCCCTTGCGGCCTCGCCATTTGGTGAAGCCGCAAGGGAGCCTTCACACGAGCCCTCCTTGGGCTCCTCCACGGCCTCGCCATTTGGCGAGCGCGCAGGGAACCCAGGGAGGGCTCTTGCGAAGGCTGCCTCGGCTCCCTTGCGGCCTCGCCATTTGGTGAAGCCGCAAGGGAGCCTTCACACGAGCCCTCCTTGGGCTCCTCCACGGCCTCGCCATTTGGCGAGCGCGCAGGGAACCCAGGGAGGGCTCTTGCGAAGGCTGCCTCGGCTCCCTTGCGGCCTCGCCATTTGGTGAAGCCGCAAGGGAGCCTTCACACGAGCCCTCCTTGGGCTCCTCCACGGCCTCGCCATTTGGCGAGCGCGCAGGGAACCCAGGGAGGGCTCTTGCGAAGGCTGCCTCGGCTCCCTTGCGGCCTCGCCATTTGGTGAAGCCGCAAGGGAGCCAAGGGAGCCTTCACACGAGCCCTCCTTGGGCTCCTCCATGGCCTCACCATTTGGCGAGCGCGCGGGGGAGCCCAGGAAGGGCTCGCGCGAAGGCTGCCTTGGCTCCCTTGCGGCCTCGCCATTTGGTGAAGCCGCAAGGGAGCCTTCACACGAGCCCTCCTTGGGCTCCTCCACGGCCTCGCCATTTGGCGAGCGCGCGGGGGAGCCCAGGAAGGGCTCGCGCGAAGGCTGCCTTGGCTCCCTCGCGGCCTCGCCATTTGGTGAAGCCGCAAGGGAGCCAAGGGAGCCTTCACACGAGCCCTCCTTGGGCTCCTCCATGGCCTCACCATTTGGCGAGCGCGCGGGGGAGCCCAGGAAGGGTTCGCGCGAAGGCTGCCTCGGCTTCCTTGGCTCCCTTGCAGCCTCGCACGAAGCCTCTCTCGCCTAGACTGTGCTCCCGCCGGGCGGCAGGGGCACGATCTAGGAGAGAGAGGCTTCATGCAAGGCTAGGCCCCGCACGAAGCCTCTCTCGCCTAAGCTGCGCCCCTGCCGCCCGTGCTAGGCCCTGCACGAAGCCTCCCTCGCCTAACCCGCGTTCCTGCCAGCCGGCGGGATCGCGATCTCGGCGAGGGAAGTTTCATGTAAGGCAGCCATTTTGAGGGGGCGGGGCCAACCGAGGCCCCTTCGCGACCCCCAGAAAATGGCCCAGCGACCCCCCTGGGGGTCGCGACCCCCAGGTTGAGAACCGCTGCTTTAGTTTTACTGCTTTCAAACTGAGGCAAACTTGGAAATTTGAAAAAATAACGGTCATGCGCATGCGCAGAGTGCTCCCTTGCCAACGGACAACCAGCCGTTTCCCTCCTTCCTCTTTCTGGTCGGCTTCATTTACATAACCACGCCCCCTCGTGGAAGGGCGAACGCAGACCTCTTTATCTCTAGCCAGTGTTATTTGCTTAGCCACGCCCCATCTCCGCTTGAAAACTTGCTTTATTTACATAGCCACGCCCGCTTTCCACTTTGCCTCATTTAGATAGCCACGCCTCCCCCTGCAAGAGTTGTTGTTGTTGTTCATTCGTTCAGTCGTCTCCGACTCTTCGTGACCTCATGAACCAGTCCATGCCAGAGCTCCCTGTCGGCTGTCACCACCCCCAGCTCCTTCAAGGTCAAGCCAGTCACTTCAAGGATGCCATCCATCCACCTTGCCCTTGGTCGGGCCCTCTTCCTTTTTCCTTCCATTTTCCCAAGCATCATTGTCTTCTCTAGGTGACCTCATGGACCAGCCCACGTACTTCCACTTTCCCTCTAGTATCTTTCCCTCCAGTGAGCAGCCGGGCTTTATTTCCTGGAGGATGGACTGGTTGGGTCTTCTGGCAGTCCAAGGCACTCTCAGAACTTTCCTCTAACACCACAGCTCAAAACCACAGCCCCCTGCAAGGGGTGAACGCAGAATCCCTCCTTTTTCTAATCTGCCTCGTTTGCATAGCCACGCCCTCTGCTGCAAAAGTGGGTAATGCAGAGTCCCCCTTTCTAACCGTTCTTATTTGCATAGCCACGCCCCCTCGTTTGCATGGCCACTTCCCCTCAAGGGAGGAATATAGTCTTTTCTTTCTAGTCTGACTGATTTGCATAGCCACGCCCCCTTATTTGAATGGCCACTCCCACCCCGCAAGAGACGAATATAGTCTATTCTTTCTAGTCTGAATGATTTGCATAGCCACACCCCCTCATTTGAATGGCCACTCCCACCCTGTAAGATACGAGTGTAGTCTTTTTTCTAGTCTGACTGATTTGCATAACCACGCCCCCTTAGTTGAATGGCCACTCCCACCTCGCAAGAGACGAATGTAGTCTTTCTAGTCTGACCGATTTGCATAGCCACGCCCCTCATTTGAATGGCCACTCCCACCCCGCAAGAGACGAATGTAGTCTCTTTCTAGTCTGACTGATTTGCATAGCCGCGCCACCTCATTTGAATGGCCACCCCCACCCCGCAAGAGACGAATGCAATATATTCTTTCTAGTCTGTCTTATTTGCATAGCCATGCCCCCTCACGCAAAAGGGACGAAAGCAGGATTCCTCCTTTTTCCAATCGGCTTTATTTGCATAGCCACGCCCTACAAGGGGCGAACGCCGAGTCCCTCCTCTTTCTAGTGTGCTATATTTGCATAGCCACGCCCGTTGGCGGAAAAGAGTCGAAAGCAGAGTCCCTCCTCTTTCTTCCCTGCCTTATTTACATAGCCACGCCCTCTCGCGCAAAGGGGCGGACGCAGAGTCCCTTTTTACTAACCTCTTATTTGCATGGCCACGCCCCCTGGCGAAAGGGGCGAATGTAGTATTTTTTCTACCCGGCCACATTTGCATGACCACGCCCCCTGCCGCATGGGGCGAATGCGGTCTTTTCTTTTATTTGCATGGCCACGCCCCTTGACTAGTGTATTCTAAGGCGGTTGCCATGGAGACCGTTGGACGCTGGAGGAAGAAAGGGAGAGGAGCGGCCTGCCTCGAGTTCTTTGGAGACTCCTCCGGCGCTCAGAAGTAGGCTCTCTTGGCTCATTCCTCTCTTCTCTGCCCCTCTCACCCCTTCTGAAGGGAATTGTAGTTCTTTTCCAAGCAAACATTGGGGCCCCAGCTCTTTTGGACTTCAACTCCCAGAAGCCCTAGTCCGTTTGGCCAATTTCTAGGAATTCTGGGAACTGGAGTCCAAAACGTTGGAAAACAACAGGTTGGGAAGAGGGGAGAAAAGATGCTTCGGGAACATTGGTATTCTGAGACCCTCGTTGTGTATTCTATATTATATGTAATATCACTAATAATATTGTCTAGTGGTGTAGTACAATATATTCATATATAATTCTAATACTGTGCTAGTCTAATAATATAATATATTGTATGTACATATACATTATATCCTAATAATATACAATAATATAATATGCATATACAATAATATAATATATTGTATATACACATGCAATATATTTATTTATTATTTATTTATTTACTTTGCTTATATTTATTTATTTACTTTGCCCGAAGGCGACTCACAGCGGTTCACAAACAGTAAAAACAGTAGAAACAGCAGTAGTTCCATACAACATATAACAATTGACTTAACACATTATCCACTAATAACCAATAAGCAATTACAATGCACAATTATTACAAAAAAACCGTACCCAATCGTCTCATCATCCAAGCATAGTCCACGTTCGTCGTCCATTGTTCCATTCCTATGTTCAGTTACCAGATTGCACTAGATTACTCAAACGCCTGCACAAACATCCAGGTCTTCAACTTTCTTCGGAATGCCATGAGAGATGGTGCCAGCCTAATGTCTGTAGGAAGGGCGTTCCACAGCCGAGGAGCCACCACCGAGAAGGCCCTATCTCTCGTCCCCGCCAACCGTGCTTGAGAAGCCGGCGGGATCGAGAGCAGGGCCTCCCCGGAAGATCTCAAAGTCCTGGTGGGTTCATAGGCCAAGATGCGGTCGGATAGGTATCTTGGGCCGGAACCGTTTAGGGCTTTATAGGCCAATGCCAACACCTTGAATTGAGCCCGGTAGCAAATCGGCAGCCAGTGGAGTTGGCGCAACAGGGGGTTGTGTGTAGTATCACTAATAATATTGCAGTCTAGTGGTATAGTACAATATATTCATATATAATTCTAATAAAATAATATATGCTAGTCTAATAAAATTATTTCTAATAAAATAATATATGCTAGTCTAATAATAATATATGCTAGTCTAATAAAATAATATATTGTATGTACATATACAATATATCATAATAATATACAATAATATAATATGCATATACAATAATATAATATATTGTATATACATATACATTATATCCTAATAATATACAATAATATAATATGCATATACAATAATATAATATATTGTATATACATATACAATATATCATAATAATATACAATAATATAATATGCATATACAATAATATAATATATTGTATATACATATACATTATATCCTAATAATATACAATAATATAATATGCATATACAATAATATAATATATTGTATATACATATACAATATATCATAATAATATACAATAATATAATATGCATATACAATAATATAATATATTGTATATACATATACAATATGCATATACAATAATATAAATAATATGCATATACAATAATATAATATATTGTATATACATATACAATATATCATAATAATATAATATGCATATACAATAATATAATATATTGTATATACATATACATTATATCCTAATAATATACAATAATATAATATGCATATACAATAATATAATATATTGTATATACATATACATTATATCCTAATAATATACAATAATATAATATGCATATACAATAATATAATATATTGTATATACATATACAATATATCATAATAATATAATATGCATATACAATAATATAATATATTGTATATACATATACAATATATCATAATAATATACAATAATATAATACGCATATACAATAATATAATATATTGGATATACATATATAATATATCATAATAATATGCAGTAATATGCATATACAATATAATATGCATATACAATAATATATATTGGATATACATATATTGTGCAATATATTATAATAATATACAATATATTGTATATACATATTATAATATATTGTACATACATTTGGAGTTGGGCTTAAAAACTGTGGCATAGATGCGGAGAACTGGGAAGCCCTGGCCCTTGACCGCTCCAGCTGGAGGTCAGCTGTGACCAGCAGTGCTGTGGAATTCAAAGAGGAACAAATGGAGGGTGAAAGGGAAAAACGTGGCAAGAGGAAGAAGGCACGCCAAGCCAATTCTGACCAGGATTGCCTTCCACCTGGAAACGGATTTATTTATTTATTTATTTACTTTGCTTATATACCGCTGTATCTCAAGCCCGAAGGCGACTCACAGCGGTTCACAAACAGTAAAAACAGTAGAAACAGCAGTGGTTCCATGCAACATATAACAATTGACTTAACACATTATCCATAAATTACCAATAAGCAATTACAATGCACAATTATTACGAAAAACAACTGTACCCAATCTTCTCATCATCCAAGCGTAGTCCAGGTTCGTCGTCCATTGTTCCATTCCTATGTTCCATTACCAGATTGCACTAAATTACTCAAACGCCTGCACAAACATCCAGGTCTTCACCTTTTTGCGGAATACCATTAGAGATGGTGCTAGTCTAATGTCCGTAGGAAGGGCGTTCCACAGCCGAGGAGCCACCACCGAAAAGGCCCTATCTCTCGTCCCCGCCAGCCGAGCTTGAGAAGCAGGCGGGATCGAGAGCAGGGTCTCCCCGGAAGATCTCAAAGTCCTGGTGGGTTCATAGGCAGAGATGCGGTCAGATAGGTAGCTTGGGCCGGAACCGTTTAGGGCTTTAAAGGCCAACGCCAGCACTTTGAATTCAGCCCGGTAGCAGATCGGTAGCCAGTGGAGTTGGCACAACAGGGGGGTTGTATGCTCCCTGCGCTCCGCTCCTGTTAAAATCATGGCTGCCGAGCGTTGGACTAGTTGGAGCTTCCGAGCTGTCTTCAAAGGCAACCCCACGTAGAGAGCGTTGCAGTAGTCAAGACGGGATGTAACCAGAGCGTGGACTACCGTGGCCAAGTCAGACCAAGACTCCAGCAATACATGGAGCGAGAGTTGCCAGATGTACAAGCTGGGTTTAGAAAAGGCAGAGGAAAGAGACCAAATTGCCAATATCCACTGGATAATGGAGAAAGGCAGGGAGTTTCAGAAAAAAACATTCCAAAGCCTTTGACTGTGTGGATCATAATAAATTGTGGCAAGTTCTTGGTGGTATGGGCATACCAAGCCACCTTGTCTCTCTCCTGAGGAATCTGTATAAGGACCAAGTAGCCACAGCAAGAACTGACCATGGAACAACAGACTGGTTCAAGATTGGGAAAGGCATACGGCAGGACTGTATACTCTCACCCGATCTATTCAACTTGTATGCGATGTGCAGGGCTTGACGAATCCAAGGCTGGGGTGAAAATTGCTGGAAGAAACATTAACAACCTTAGATATGCAGATGACAGCACTTTGATGGCCAAAAGCAAGGAGGAGCTGAGGAGCCTTCTAATCAAGGTGAAAGAAGAAAGCGCAAAAGCTGGATTGCAGCTAAACATAAAAAAACCCGAGATGATGGCAACCAGACTGATTGAGAACTGGCAAATAGAGGGAGAAAATATGGATGCAGGGACAGATTTTGTATTTCTAGGCTCAAAGATGACTGCAGACACAGACTGCAACCAGGAAATCAGAAGACGTTTCCTACTTGGGAGGAGAGCAAGGACCAATCTCGATAAAATAGTGAAAAATAGAGACATCACACTGGCAACAAAGACCCACATAGTCAAAGCAATGGTATTATTATTTTAATAATAATAATAATAATAATAATAATAATAATAATAATAATAATTCCCTGTGGTAACCTATGGATGTGAGAGCTGGACCTTAGGGAAGGCTGAGCGAAGGAAGATAGATGCTTTTGAGCTGTGGTGTTGGAGGAAAGTTCTGAGAGTGCCTTGGACTGCGAGAAGATCCAACCAGTCCATCCTCCAGGAAATAAAGCCCGACTGCTCACTGGAGGGAAGGAGACTAGAGACAAAGTTGAAGTACTTTGGCCACATCATGAGGAGACAGCAAAGCCTAGAGAAGACAATTATGCTGGGGAAAGTGGAAGGCAAAAGGAAGAGGGGCCGACCAAGGGCAAGATGGATGGATGGCATCCTTGAAGTGACTGGACTGACCTTGAAGGAGCTGGGGGTGGTGACGGCTGACAGGGAGCTCTGGCGTGGGCTGGTCCGTGAGGTCACGAAGAGTCAGAGACGACTGAATGAATGAACAACAACTAATAAAGGAGATGGATACTTGCTTCCAATTCCAAAATATGATAAATGCAATATACGAAAATCAACAAGCAAAAATACGGATAAATGGACAAGAAACTGAAAATATTGAAATAGAAAAAGGGACAAGACAAGGATACCCCCTGTCACCACTCATATTTATTTTGGCATTGGAAGTCTTATTAGACAAAATAAGAGAGGACAAAAACTTAAAAGGGGCAGGAATTCAAGGACATGATTATAAATTTAGGGCTTTTGCTGATGATACCATCTGTGTAATAGGAGAACCTGAAAAAAGCTTAGGAAAATAGATAGAAATGATAAGATATTTCGGAACAGTTTCGGGATTCAAGATAAATATGGAAAAGGCAAAGGCACTTACAAAAATATCACAAAAAAAAGAGAACAAGATACCTTAGAAAAGAAATTGAAAATACAAATTACAAATAAATTAAAATATTTAGGAATAATATTAACATCAAAGAATATACAATTATTACAAAACAATTATATTGAAGGCTGGAAAAACATAAGAAAAGGCATGGAAAAATTTAAATTTATCTCTTCTAGGAAGGATAGCAAGTGTGAAAATGAAGATATTGCCAAAGATGATCTTTCTTTTCCAATATCTACCAATAATAAGAAACCCAAACCTATTGAAAGATTGTTCAGTTGGCATTTCTGATGAGATAAGTAAAAAGGAAGATCTCTTCAGCCAAGCCATAAAACCAGAGAAAGAGTGCCTCATATTTAATGGTGCCAAGCAAAGGGCTGGAATATAAAGGCCAACCTGCTTGAAGATTCGGTCTAGCCTTGCGTCCCATATTTTATGGTGGCAGCGGGTGAGATTGAAAAATAAAAGGTCCACCCTGCCACGTGAAAGAACAAAGGAATGAGACAGGGTGCGTCTCAGCCACAAGAGCCAAGTTTCTGGAGTAGAAGAGCTACTTTCAAAGTATTATTCATTTATTTATCGTGTCAGGAGAGAACCAAAGCAGTTGTATTGCATTAAAAACAAACAAACAAACAAAACACAAAGTTTTCAGGCTTGGTATTCTATTAAATGTCCTTTGACCAGTATCTGGCCCCTTGGAGTTCCTCTGGTGTTGCTGCAAGAAGGTCCTCCATTGTGCATGTGGCAGGGCTCAGGTTGCATTGCAGCAGGTGGTCAGTGGTTTGCTCTTCTCCACACTCGCATGTCGTGGATTCCACTTTGTAGCCCCATTTCTGAAGGTTGGCTCTGCATCTCGTGGTGCCAGAGCGCAGTCTGTTCAGCACATTCCAAGTTGCCCAGTCTTCTGTGTGCCCAGGGGGGAGTCTCTCATTTGGTATCAGCCATTGGTTGAGGTTCTGGGTTTGAGCCTGCCACTTTTGGACTCTTGCTTGCTGAGGTGTTCCAGCAAGTGTCTCTGTAGATCTTAGAAAACTATTTCTTGATTTAAGTCGTTGACGTGCTGGCTGATACCCAAACAAGGATGAGCTGGAGATGTCACTGCCTTGGTCCTTTCACTATTGGCTGCTACTTCCCGGCAGATGTCAGGTGGTGCAATACCGGCTAGACAGTGTAAGTTTCTCTAGTGGTGTAGGGCGCAGACACCCCGTGATAATGCGGCATGTCTCATTAAGAGCCACATCCACTGTTTTAGTGTGGTGAGATGTGTTCCACACTGGGCATGCATACTCAGCAGCAGAGTAACATAGCGCAAGGGCAGATGTCTTCACTGTATCTGGTTGTGATCCCCAGGTTGTGCCAGTCAGCTTTCGTATGACATTGTTTCTAGCACCCACTTTTTGCTTGATATTGAAGACTGCACAATTAAACAGGAAATCACACTTTCAAACCAGGAACAGAATACTTTTTTTATCCAAATGTTGTCACATAGTGTAATGCTCAATCACCCACAAGGTGGCAAGCTTCAAACACTGGAGAATAACTCCCTTCTTATTCTCTCTCCATACAGGTTTCTATCTTCTGCATTTGGGGGTCAAGATGGCTAATTCGGAAATGGAGCAGGATTTGCAGCGGTTCCTTCAGAACGTAGATGAAGTTAGTGAGTAAAGCCTAATTAAATTGAAGCCGGGGAATATTTTTGACAGATCCTCTTCTGCAGGACCACGGTTTCAAAGAGTGACAATTAAGGTGCAATTCCTACAAGAAGCCAAGTATTTCCTGGGGAAGAAAGACCCCACTCGCTTCCTCCTGTTGTGCCAGTCAACCCAGAGAGTCACACACTGCGGTGCTTAAGATCAACTGGAAGTATAAGTATACTATCTAAGATATAGAGAAGGGCTTCTCAGCTTTTGTTTGGATTGCAACTTCCATAATCCTGTAGCATTCTGGATAGGAATGATAGGAGTTGCAAGTCAACAGCATCTAGTTCTTACCATCCTTTGGAAGGTCCTCTTGCCTGGCGTCCAACTTTGAAAAGCAAGATATATGTTGACAAATAGAATGTAGTTTTGTTTATTTATTGTGTCAAAAGCGAATTGAGGATACAGTTATCAAGTATTTAAGAAACACAAAAGTTAAAAACTTGGCATTATACTAGATTTCCTTTGACCAGTAGCTGGCCACTGGGAGTGCCTCTAGTGTGGCTGTGAGAAGGTCCTCCATTGTGCATGTGGCAGGGCTCAGGATACATTGTAGTAGGTGGTCTGTAGTTTGCTCTTTTCCACATTCGCATGTCGCGGACTCTACTTTGTAGCCCCATTTCTTAAGGTTGGCTCTGCATCTCATGGTGCCAGAGCACAGCCTGTTCAGTGCCTTCCAAGTTGTCCAGTTTTCTGTGTGCCCAGGAGAGAGTCTCTCATTTGGTATCAGCCATTGGTTGAGGTTCTTGGTTTGAGCCTGCCACTTTTGGACTCTTGCTTGCTGAGGTGTTCCAGCTAGTGTCTCTGTAGATCTTAGAAAACTATTTCTGTTCAGCACCTGCCATTCGTCTGTGCACCCAGGAGGGAATCTCTCATCCGGTCTCAACCACTGGTTGGAGTTCCAGGTTCTAGCCTGCCACTTTTGAACTCTCGCTTGCTGAGGTATTCCTGCGAGTATCTCTGCAAATCTTAGAAAGATGTTTCTTGCTTTAAGGCATTGACTTGCTCACTGATATCTGAACAGAGAATGGGCCGGAGATAGAATCCTAGAGTTGAAAGAGACCTCGTGGGCCATCCAGTCCAACTCCATTTTGCCAAGAAGCAGGAAAATCGCATTCAAAGCACCCCCAACAGATGGCCATCCAGCTTTTGTTTAAAAGCCGCCAAAGAAGGAGCGTCCACTACATTATTATTATTATAGAGTTATTATTATTATTATTATTATTATTATTATTGTTATTATTTCATGCATACCCTTCCCTTCTCCCCCCAAAGGGGGACTCAGGGTGGCCTCACATAAGCAGCATAGGATGCTATCAACATATAAACAACAAGAATTATAATTAAAACAGTAAAAATCATTAAAAACATTATACAAATTCATTTAACAAGTTCCTTTAACAATAAATTGACATGCCAATTAAAACCACGACCAAGCCAGGGTAAATGCAATGTCGCAGATGTCCTAAATTTCCTTTCCAATTGCCACTGAGCTCTAATTGAACACCAGGTCCCAAAGCCAAGTCTTCAGTTGTCTTCTAAAGGACAGGAGGAGGTGGCCAACCTGATGTCCTTGGGGAGAGATTCCACAGCCGGGGGCCACCGCTGAGAAGGCTCTGTCTCTCGTCTCCAGCAACCATGTTTGCGGAAGTGGTGGGATCAAGAGCAGGGCCTCTCCTGATGATCTTAAGCTTCGTGATGGTTCGTAACAGGAGATACGTTTGGACAGGTCCGCCCCAGGAGGCTTATGGATCCGAATGGATTCCTGACGGCTCTTGGGGAATTTCCCGCTGCCTCGGTTGGTGATCCTGTCGATGCCCTGGTGGCTCTCTGGAATGGGGAGATGACCAGGGCAATAGACACGATCGCTCCGGAACGTCCCCTCTCAAGTAGCCGAGCTAAACCAGCTCCTTGGTTCACCGAGGAGCTGGCAGCAATGAAGCGAAAAAAGAGGAGACTAGAGCGTGTGTGGCGTTCGGACCCGAGCGAGTCAAACCGAGCACGGTTTGTTGCCCTATTAAGGGCATATGCCGTGGCAATAAAGGCGGCAAAGAAATCTTTCTTTGCGGCCAATATTGCGTCCGCAAAGAACCGTCCGGCCGAGCTGTTCCGAGTTGTCAGAGGCCTGTTGAAGCCCACCACTTTGGATGGGAGCCCTGACAACTCGACAGCCCGCTGTGAAGCATTTGCTCGGTTCTTCGCGGACAAAGTCGCTTCGATCCGTTCAGGTCTGGATACCATGTTAACGGCAGTCTCTGAGGATGTGACGAGAACATCTGTCTGTCCGGTTTTGATGGATTCGTTTCAATTTGTGAAACCTGAGGATGTGGACGAGGTGCTTGGAGGGATGAGGGCAACCACATGCATCCTAGACCCCTGCCCATCCTGGCTTGAAGGAGGCCAGAGGGGGATTGGCCAGTGGGTGAAGGTGGTGGTTAATGCCTCCCTTCGGGAAGGCAATATTCCAGCCAGCTTAAAACAAGCTGTAAAACAGCTGTTGAAGAAACCATCACTGGACCCCACTCAATTCGTCAACTATCGGCCTGTTTCCAATCTCCCCTTTTTGGGCAAAGTCATGGAACGTGTGGTGGCCTCACAACTCCAGGCATTCTTGGTAGACACGGATTATCTGGATCCGGCACAGTCTGGCTTTAGGCCGGGGCATGGTACCGAGACAGCCTTGGTCGCCTTAGTAGATGATCTCCGGCGTGAGCTTGACAGGGGGAGTGTGTCCCTGTTGGTTCTGCTGGACCTCTCAGCGGCCTTCGATACCGTCGACCACGGTATCCTTCTGGGACGCCTTGCGGTAATGGGCCTGGGGGGCACTGTTTTACAGTGGCTCAGGTCCTTCCTAGAGGATCGTACCCAGAAGGTGTTGCTGGGGGACAACTGCTCGACCTCACAACCATTGACTTGTGGGGTCCCGCAGGGTTCTATACTGTCCCCCATGTTGTTTAACATCTACATGAAGCCGTTGGGAGAGATCATCCGGAGTTTCGGGGTGCGGTGTTATCTGTACGCAGATGACGTCCAACTCTGTCACTCCTTTCCACCTACTACTAAGGAGGCTGTCCAGGTCCTGAACCGGTGCTTGGCCGCTGTGTCGGACTGGATGAGGGTGAACAAATTGAAACTCAATCCAGACAAGACAGAGGTACTCCTAGTCAGTCGAAAGGCCGAACAGGGTATAGGGTTACAGCCTGTGTTGGACGGGGTCGCACTCCCCCTGAAGACGCAGGTTCGCAGCTTGGGTGTGACTCTGGATTCTTCGCTAAGCTTGGAACCCCAAGTCTCGGCGGTTTCCAGAGGAGCATTTGCACAGCTTCGGCTCGTGCGCCAGCTGCGCCCGTATCTTGGGAGGTCGGACTTGGCTACGGTAGTCCACGCTCTTGTCACATCCCGTATAGACTACTGCAACGCGCTCTACGTGGGGTTGCCCTTGAAGACTGCCCGGAAGCTTCAGATGGTCCAGCGCTCGGCAGCCAGGTTGCTAACAGGAGCGGCACTCAGGGAGCACACCACTCCTCTGTTGAGCCAGCTCCACTGGCTGCCAATTCGCTACCGAGCACAATTCAAGGTGCTGGCTTTAGCCTATAAAGCCCTACACGGTTCCGGCCCCACTTACCTCTCCGAACGCATCTCCTCCTACGAACCGGGAAGAGCGTTAAGATCTTCCGGGGAGGCCCTGCTCTCGGTTCCGCCGGCGTCACAAGTGCGGCTGGCGGGCACGAGAGACAGGGCCTTCTCGGTGGTGGCCCCTCGGCTATGGAATGCGTTACCGGTGGACATCAGGCAGGCCCCTTCGTTACTGGTGTTTCGGAGGAGGGTGAAGACGTGGCTCTACGAGCAGGCTTTCGGCAACTAACTCAATAATGACGGCATCGGACAAGGAATGGAAAAAGGATCTTGAGATCGGAATCTGATTCTAAGTGTGGCGTTGATGATTATGTGTTTGTCTGTATTGTGTGTCTCATACATTGTTTAGTGTTGCTTTTTATTGTAAACCGCATTGAGTCGCCGCCTCAGGCTGATATATGCGGTATACAAATAGAGTAAATAAATAAATAAATAAATAAATACTCCTGCTGAACAGCTCTCACAGTCAGGAAGTTCTTCCTCATGTTCAGATGCAATCTCCTTTCTTGTAGTTTGAAGCCATTGTTCCATTGCATCCTAGTCTACAAGGCAGCAGAAAACAATATGACTCACATATTTATACATGGCCCTCATGTCTCCTCTCAGCCTTCTCTTCTTCAGGCTAAACATGCCCAGCTCTTTAAGCCACTCCTCATAGGGCTTGTTCTCCAGACCCTTGATCATTTTAGTCGCCCTCCTCTGGACACATTCCAGCTTGTCATTATCTCTCTTCAATGTCAGTGCCTTGGTCCTTTCATTACTGTCTGGTACTTCCCGACGGATGTCAGGTGGTGATAAAAGTAATGAAAGTAAGGTAGTCACCACTGCGCTACTGGTAGCCCAGTGCTTTATTCAATCCTATTGTACAGTGGAATAACAATGACAAACAAATACGCAGAACCTTTAGGTCAGCAGATTAAACTGCTCACCAATTTGACCTGTTGCACGACCATTGGACTTTTAACTGCCTTGGTTCTGTCCTATGGGACTTATAGTTTGGCAAGATACTCAAGCTCTTGGGTTGAATGCCCTTTGCTAAACTGCCAATCCCTAAATTGATTCTATGGGAAATAAATCAGCTCTTTCTGCGGTTGGTGATGACAACTCTGTGGCCGCTAGTTTCCATGGATGTTTAATCATGAGTTTGTATTTACACTTGTTGTATTGTTCAGTAAGAATCCTCCAGCCTTTGTCTCCAGCAAATCTAGATGGCTAGAAAACTGGCCACACAGACAATTGGCAATTATTCATTTCCAGGCTCTTGCAAGTGGAATTTAGAGGAGGAAACGCTCAGTAAGGCGTTTTAAAAACAGGAGATGATTGATTGGAATACTGCTTTATTTCGGCATGATGGTGCAGACATATAATAATGAATGCTCAGATATTTGATCAGAAGGAAACAAGACGATTGCCGCCGCACCTGAAATTTCTGCTCTCCGCCATCCTTTGATTTATTTGTTTTCTGTTTTGTCAAAATTGCCTTTAAAAAAATGAAGGGAGCCAATGTTCTCCCAACGATCAAAAATTTAAAAGCTTTCTGGGCATCTTGACAGTCATTTTCATCCGAAACGCCTTGGTGCAAATAATTCAGTGTTTACCACCTCAAAGTCTCTTTGAAGTAGGTGGTCCAAAACCTAAGAGCCAGAAAAATCGCACAGAGCTCTTCAACATGCAATTGGGGTGAGGAAACGCATTATAGCAAGACAATAAAAGAACCCAAAGAATCCCCTCCTTGCCATTCTCACACGGATAGATCCATGGCAGATGTGTCAGTCTTCTAAGGCATCATATCACCCAAAAGATGTCCTCTGGTCCACGGCCCACAGGTTAAGAACCACTGCAATAAACAGACATGAAAGCATTATGTCTGCCCAGGAATTTCTGTTTCCCACAAAGCTGTGTTGATCTATTTACTCTAATCTGCAAGCGTGCTTCCTTGCTTAGGTAAGTATCACCAGGTGCTCTTTTCCCATGAGAGTTTCTCATCCATTCCTCTTTGCTAGACTCCTTAACTAGAGAGGATGATTCCAACTCCTATGCTTGGCCTTGAGGTTCAGAGGCAATTACAGCGTTCCCTTGCTACTTCGCAGTTCGCTTTTAGCGGATTTGCTGTTTCGCGGGTTTTTGCTGCTGCCTGTCCTGAATTGCCCTTCAAAAACAGCCTTAATACAATGTTGAAAGTTAAAGAAAAATGCTTTACTTCAGCAAACACAAAGGATAAGCAAATTAAATTGAAAAGTGCAAAAGAAAGCAAGGAAGTCTTAATCCAGACACAAATTAAAGTCTCTTACAAAGTCCCAAAAGAAACACCAGTCTTCCATGGAACCTCCAGTGGCGCAGTGGGTTAAACCTTTGTGCCGGTAGGACTGAAGACCGAAGGGTCGCAGGTTCGAATCTGGGGAGAGGCGGATGAGCTCCCTCTATCAGCTACAGCTCCTCATGCGGGGACATGAGAGAATCCTCCCACAAGGATGATAAAAACATCAATTAATCCGGGCGTCCCTGGGCAATGTCCTTGCAGATGGCTAATTCTCTCACAACAGAAGTGACTTGCAGTTTCTCAAGTCGCTCCTGACACGACAAAAACAAACAAACAAACAAAAAAACCCAGTCTTCCATCAGACGACAGACGATGAACTAAGTCCTTAGCAGCAGACACAAAACAGATTCCATTGTAGTAAAAACAGCAGTATCAGGGTCATTATTACCAGCGCAATCTGACTACTCCTGCCTCAGATTTATAGCCCTGAATTCCCCATGTAGGAGGTGCTAGGGCGTCTCCCAATTAGCTCAGCATTTTTAGCAGCTATTCTGGCTGAATGCCGTCAGTGCTCTGTCTCTTTTCATCTCTCTTGAAATGTGGGCACTTTCAAACCCTCATCATCTGATTCTTCTTCTCCCTCCAATTCCTGAGCACTTCCCTGCTCCCCCTTCCTCTTCTGAAGATGAGGAATCCCCAACACTGCCGCTCTCTGAGGCACTTTCCCTCCTCAGTCCTCTCTCCCTCCAGCCTTGAAGGGCTTTCCCTTCATTTCCTTCATTTTATAAAGACTTAAAATAGTGTATAACTACTAAAATAATGTATAAATATTAAAATAAATATAGCGTCTCTACATCGTGGTTTTTCATTTATTGGGGGAGGTCTTGGAAGGTAACCCCCGCAATAAGTATGTACAGAGGGATCACTGTACATTGTCAGACCCTGCATCCATGCTTGCATCCTTCTCTCAGACGGTTTCACTTTCTTGGCCTGTATCAAAATGAATCCAGGAAAGTCCACAATCCTGTCTGACTCTGTCATCAGTGAACCCATTAGGCCTTGGCTGCTGTGACTGTTGCTGAGCTACAACAATTGCTAAACCACATAATTAGTTAAAACACTCTGTGGAAGCTTACTGTTATTTTTTTTAATGGTGCCCACAGGTGCACAAATGTGATGGCGCGAGTGGCGCCACCTATGTGTAGAACTGTTAGTTGCAAGATTTAAACTGTTGCATCATGCTTAATCCTGCCTTTTTACCCTGCTTATGTATGGTTGGATTGATTGGCTACTTATAGCTGTCAATCAGTATTGTTTGGCTCCACCTCTTCCTGGAGGAGGAGAGTGCTTCCCTTTTCATTCTGCCATCAGAGTTTCTCTCGGATGGATGTGAGTAAGAGACTTGGCTCTAAAAGCCCCTGCTTAAATTACCTCTCAGCACCAGTTCTGAGGTTCTTACCCTTGAGACTTATGCTTCATGTTCAGACCAACCTGAACGACGTTGGAAGTCTCAAGTGCCTTCAAACTGGTTCTTTTGGCACCAGAGGAAGATCCTGAGTCTTCAAACATAGGCCATTTGAACTGGGGTTGTGGTTTGCTCTGGCATTCACAGCCATTGAGGAAAGAAGAAACAGGAAAAGCTTCTCAGCTACAAACTCCTTGGACTTCAGAGACTGTAAAGTATATTTCCTTTATCCCTGTTGAAACATCTAGCTTATGCCTGAGAAAGATAACTCATTGTGAACAATAAATACCATTTCGAGTTATCTGTTGTGTTTTGGTCTTTGGGAGTTCCAGTTTCCTATAGAAGGGCCAGAAGCAATCCCCTGGGGAAAGATGCCACGCCCATGCCTCTCCCATTAACAGTTATAGCCCCCAGGCACGATGGCACAACAAAGATGACATTGAGGTTCAAGAGGATGCTTAGTTCTTCTAAGTGCGGAAGTCAAGTGTGGGATTCCTTTTCCTAACACTAAACATTTTCCAAATCTGGCTGAGGCATATCCTGTGAAAGTTGTGCTCCTTCTCCCACAGATCTGCCAGTTTTCTCAAAAGCGGGCTCTAGACATGTTTCTGGGTTCCTCAGTATTCTGAAATCAACCAGAAGCAATCCTTTGTGGTCCTGGCCCTTCTGGAATGCTGCACTTGAACAAGCTCACTTTCTGAGGTCTCTTTGGTGCTAGGCAAAGAGTGCTTATCCCTCCCAACATCCAGCCATTTAATTGGGACACCTTTAATCTTCCTTCTCTGTTTCTTGTATTCTTATACTTTTAGTCATCTGCCTGTTTTGTATATTTATTGACATATTTGTTGGCTTGTTGGCTTGTTTGTTTTGTGCTTGTTAGCAGCTCTGGGGGCTTCATGGCGAAGCTGTGAGATATCCGCTTCTTAGACAGATAGATGGATAGATAACAATAGAAACCAGCTTGCTGGACCCACAATACACTGGCTCCCAATTTTGTCTGGAAGCCTATGCTGTTCCAGTGATTGGTTTGTCTTTCCTACTGTTTCCAGCCAACTTGATTCAAGCCATGAATTCGACCATCCCGGTCCAGGCGGAAGTCATCGCAGAGGCAGAGAAATTGCTCAGCTCCATGGAACTCAAAGAGGGGAATAAACGGAAGCCCCAGGTGGACAGGACAGTCATCAACACGCGAGCACCGGTACATATATTCTCTTTCTTCCTTTTATCTCTCCATTTGTCCCTGCTTTTCTGGGAAGCCATTGGGGGGATTTGAGCAAATACACATCCTGTCTTTTAGGGATTATATAGCAACCTGAGGTGAAACATCTAATTGTAGGCTGCCAGTTCTGTCTGTTGTCAATCTCTTCTGTGGCCAGCACGGACGTTTTGCCGCGTGTGATGATAATTGCTAGATCGTTTTGCCAGGGTGATTTCAATCTCCATAAAATTGCAAAACATGGTGACATTGCGTTGAAACCTTTTTTTTTCGAAAAAATGATGTGTATTACTTCATTAGATGGACAGATCCATCTAATTTTATAGCCTTTCCCTGCTGTTGGTGTTTTGTCCTCTTCTGCTTTGTCCGCAAACAGTTGAGGCTTCTCCAACACTTTTCAGGTGCAGCTGGCAGGAAACTGTACCGCATTTAGGCAGAAGAATTTCAAGAATTTCATTTAGGCAGAAGATTCTCATGGTTCTCAACCTTTGGTCTTTCATGTATTTTGGATGTTAACATCCGGAACATAAAGCCATTACCCATCAAGACTGGGGCAGCTCCAGAGGTTGAGAAGCTCTTCAGATTGCAGTCACTTTAAAACAATTTTAAAAATATGTATTCATTGTAAGATATCTTGAGCCTTTGTGAAAACATCTCTACCAAACATCTATCTATATCAATGACTTCAGCCACGGCGGTGTGTGTGTGTGTACTGTCGCTCCATCTCCCATGCCAAGGAGCTTTATTGTTCTTAGACGCTCTCCCAGTCGGGTTGCCGGCATGGCATGTCCACCTTTTATTACCTCCCTGCTTTAAAGCAGTACCTATTTATCTACTCACATTGCTGTTCTTGAACTGCTAGGTGAACAGAAGCTGGGCTGACGGTTGTGAGCTCACCCCAACCTGGTCTTGAGGTGTCAATCTTTCAATTGGCAAGATTTTCTGCAGCTGGCAGTTTAACCCACTGTGCTATAGCTCAGCCCCAGGAGAACATGCAGTCCAGTACATCCACAGCACACTGGCTGTCCTAAATGTTTCTTCTTCTTCTTCCACCTGGGGATCACAACCAGATACAGTGAAGACATCTGCCCTTGCGTTGTGCTACTCTGTTGCTGAGTATGCATGCCCAGTGTGGAACGCATCTCACCACGCTAAAATAGTAGATGTGGCTCTTAATGAGGCATGCTGCATTATCACAGGGTGTCTGCACCCTACACCACTGGAGAAATTGCACTGTTTAACCGGTATTGCACCACCTGACATCCGCCAGAAGTAGCAACCAATAGTGAAAGGACCAAGGCAGAGACATCTCCAGCTCATCCCTTGTTTGGGTATCAGCCAGCACGTCAATGACTTAAATCAAGAAATAGTTTTATAAGATCTACAGAGACACTCCTGAAACACCTCAGCAAGCAAGAGTCCAAAAGTGGCAGGCTCAAACCCATATCCTCAATCAATGGCTGATACCAAATGAGAGACTCCCCCCTGGGCACACAGAGGTCTGGGCGACTTGGAAGGCGCTGAACAGACTGTGCTCTGGCACCACAAGATGCAGAGCCAACCTCAAGAAATGGGGCCACAAAGTGGAATCCACAACATGCGAGTGTGGACAAGAGCAAACTACAGACCACCTGCTGCAATGCAACCTGAGCCCTGACACATGCACAATGGAGGACCTTCTTATAGCAACACCAGAGCATTCCAAGTGGCCAGATACTTGTCAAAGGACATCTAATCAACCTCGAACTTGCAAACTTTGTGTTTTGTTTGTTTGTTAAAAAATGCAATACAACTGTTTGGTTTGCTCCTGATACGATAAATAAATAAATAAATACTCATATTGCTCTTTTTGAACTGCTAGGTGAACAGAAACTGGGCTAACGGTTGTGAGCTCACCCCAACCTGGACTTGAGGTGTCAATCTTTCAATTGGCAAGATTTTTTGCAGCCTGCAGTTTAACCCGCTGTGCTATAGCTCGGCCCCAGGAGAACATGCACTCCAGTACATCCACAGCACACTGGCTGTCCTAAATGTTTCTTCTTCTTAGGATGGATTTAACTGCAGAATGTACTGCAGCCTGCTTTATTCCTGCTTAAGGCACCAACCCAGCGTTGCAATTTGCCCAGACAAAGTGTCTTCCAGAATCCTTTTTGCCAATTTAATTGTTATATTCTATTACCTGAACTCATTTGATTTGTTTTCCTCCCTTCTTATGGCTTTTTAAAGCTATTGACTGAATTAATTTTGACAGCTTTGGAAACATGGTTCACCTTTTGGAGGTATGGGGCCATTAAGGAGACATGTTTTAAGTGGCTTTGAAAAAGGATCCTGGTTCATTTTATGGGATTTTTAAAATCATAGACCAAGAATTCTTTAAAAAGCCAAGTCACATTGTGTGCTACATGGCACCTTTTCTTTCCCAGAACTTCCAACTAATGCCTTGTTTTGACCCACCTGTTTTAGGATTTGCCAAATCACGAGGAAATGATGACTCAAGGTAAGAAGCTGATTGATTCAGTTCTTATGGGTTTTTTCGGGCTATATGGCCATGTTTTAGAGGCATTTCTCCTGACGTTTCGCCTGCATCTATGGCAAGCATCCTCAGAGGTGAGGTCTGTTGGAACTGGGAAAAGGGTTTATATATCTGTGGAATGACCAGGGTGAGACAAAGGTCTTTTGTAAGTTGGGCTAGGTGTGAATCTTTCAACTGACCACCTTGATTGATTGATTGTTCAGGGAGATTTTGAAAGAGAGGAATCTCAGAGGCTGAATACATGCTATTTCTAAGGTTGTGCATATTTTCATTTTCAATTCATTTTTCGGATCAAATTAGTTAAATTTGTGCATACGAATCGATATTAGAAACATGCAGGAAAGGTGAGGAGAATTTAGAAATTGAAACCCTCATCAATCATTTTTGTTAAGATTCTGTAACATTCGGATGCCTCCCAAGGTCAGTTTAATTTTTAGTATAAATATTAAACAACTTTGGTAAAGCCAAGAGAACATCAAGTGCTTTCAAAACCAACCTTGTTCTTCTAAGAAAGACACTGCGGGTGGGACTAGCAAAGTTAATGGACAGAAGATTTAGAACAAAACATTCTGGGATATGTAGTTCGGGAAGGTGAAAAATGCAAAAGGCCCTGCCCTCAACTACATTTCCCAGAATGCAGTGCTCAGTGTCAGAAAGCCCCTATGGCATCAGTTGTTTAGAATCAGTCTAGTAATCATAATAAATAAAATTATCGACTCTGCAAAGAGGACTAAAGTAAGTAATAGTATAAATTTGTGCTAAGTTGAAGTTCTGGTTGTGTGTCATAATGACAGACAGGCATTCAAGGGGATTGCTGTTGTCGCTTTTGGGAGGATAAACCGTTTTTGTCAAAACTTTTAAAAATCCCCCCAAAATCTGTAAATGTTTGAATCTTTCTGAAACTTCTGGGGATTGGTGCCCTGGTTATCTTGTGCATTGTAGATCAAATTCAAGTAGTAGGTTTTCTTTTAAAATGTTGTTTATAAAAACTTTGAAAATTCCCCAAAAATCCATGGATAAGTGAAACATTCTGAAATTTGGTGTGCTAACAGTGGCCAATGTGTTCTATCATTGTAGCAAGTTCTATCCCAATAGTTTTAAAAATGAAGGAGGAAGGAGCCCCTGAAGTTTTCCCAATTATAGTAAATTATGCATAATAATTCCTATAACAAAATAGTAACAAAAATGTGTTACTTTCATATTAGTAACAAACTAGCTGTGCCCTGCCACGCGTTGCTGTGGCCTATAGTAAGAATTTTCAAAGTAGAGGTAGATATCTGGACTATTATGAAAGAGAGGTACCTACCTATTCCTTCCCCCTTTTTCCTTCCCCTTTCTCTCCTTTCTTCCTTCTCTACCTCTTTTTTTCATTCCTTCTTTTGCTCTTTGGTTTCATCCTTCCTTCTCTCTTTACTTCCTTTTCTCCCCCTTTCTCTACTTCTTCCTTTGTCTTCTTTCTTCCCTCCCTGTTTCCTTCCTTCTTTCAGTTTTTATTTCCTTTTCTCCTTCCTTCCTTCTTTACCTCTTTCCTGCCTTTGCTTCCCTTTTTCTTTCCTTTCCACTTTCTCTTCTTTCTTCCTTCAGTACCTCTTTCCTTCTTTCTTTCCTTCCTTCCTTCCTTCCTTCCTTTCTTCTTTCCCTCCCTCCTTCTCTCTTTCCTTCCTTCTCCCTTTCCCTCCTTCATTCTTTCCCTTTTCCCTTCCTACTTTCTTCTCTCCTTCCTTCCTGCCTATTCTCCCCCAATACCATGGTAGAGTCCCTTCTAACTCTATTCTATTAGTCTATTTAATATTGTAATATATAGTAGTAACATTATATAGTAGTATATATAACAATAATATATAAAATATAATATGTGTATTATGTAGCAATATATATAATAGTAATATATAATGTATGGCGTGTGTGTGTGTATGTATATATATCACCAACCAGTGATCCAACATCCATATATATGTGTGTGTGCATGTGAGTCTACACTGCCATATAATCCAGTCCTAAGTAGATAATCTGGATTTTACATGCCAGAGTGGAAGGGGTGACTTTGGGTGCATCTACACTTTAGATTTAATAAAGGAGGGTGAAGCTGGTGAGAGGAGGAGAAAAAGGAGGAGAAAGGGAGAAGGAAGGGAGGAAGGGAAGGGAAGGAGAAGGGAAGGGAAGGGAGGGAGGAAAGGGAGGGAAGGGGGGAAGGAAGGGAGGGAGGAGGAGGGGGGAAGGAAAGGAAGGGAGGAAGGAGGAAAGGAAGGAGGGAAGGGAGGGATGGGAAGAAGTGAAGGAAGGAGAAGGAAGGGAAGTAGAGGAAGGGAAGGAAGGAGGGGGTTGGACTGGATGGCCTTTAGGGCTCCCTTCCAACTGGTTGGCCATCTGTTGTGAGGGCTTTGATGGTGTCTTCCTTTATTGCCAAATGAGGTTGGGCTGGATGGTTTTTGGGGCTCCTTTCCAAGCAATGTCAGTTTTGTGTGTCCCTATGACCCCCATCATGGCACCTTCGTCCTTCCCTTGTGCTGTGGGAGTGTGTGTGTGGGAGACAGAGAGTCAGAGTGTGTGCTCAGAGTGTGGCCCGCATCCCTCTTTTATGCTCCCCCCCTCTCCCTTTCCTCCCCTCCTCCTTCTCCTCAGCCTCTGCCCTTTGATCCCTTGCCTTAGTGTTAGATAGTAGGCCTGGGTAACAACGGAAAAAATTGTTTCTAAAATCGATTCGTTTTTTGGGGTTTTTTGCGTTTCGATATTTAAAAGAATTCCGAAATTTTTCTTTTAAAAAGTTCGATATTTACGAAATTTCGTAAATGTTAAAAAAATTACGAAACATTAACGAAACAAATACGAAACAATAACGAATCGATTCGTTAATGGCGGACGCGACCGCGCAATACGCTAAAAAACCTCCAAATGGGACAGGGGGAACTTCTGAAGCTTCCCTCTCCCTCTGTTGTTGACTGTTGGTGTGATATTATAATTTTTTTTCACTAATTAAACAAAAAACAACTATAAAACTTGCCCCAGACATGCGGAAATAATAACGAAACGACCTCAGAACAATAACGAAACGAATACAATAACGAAATACGAAGCATTTACAAAACGTGTTTAAAAATTCGTTTGTTTTTTTTAATTGCTCCAGAATGGTTCGTTATCGTTTTGTAATTAAAAAAATAACGAATTATTAATGACGAATTAACGAAACGAAACCGCCCAGCCCTATTAGTTAGGGGCTGAGAGACATGCAGGGAGCAGTAACCATCACAGTTGCCCAGAGCCCTCATTCTGTGTCCTCAGTGTGAGGGGGAGGAGCAGGGGAGGTGTGTTGTCTTCTTCCTTTTTTGAATTTAAAGGTGTTTTGTGGGTTTTTTTTTCCAGTGATGGCCACTCCTTGGATTGTGAGGAGTTTTGTTGCCAAATTTGGGGTCATTTGGCCACGTAGTTTTTTTGTTTTTAAGGTCCTCATTACAGACAAAGCATTTTTATATATATAGATTGTTCACTAACTATACTTTAGTAACCCAGTTTTGTAATGACTTTGGAACCATTTTAATGGATCACACATCCCTAATGTTTACTGTGGCGGGACAAGGATTGGTCTCAGGATCTGCCTTCTTTTGTGCCCTTTGCTCGTAGTCTTCTTTTGTGTTCAGTTAATAGACTGGAACATTGAAATTGCCTCTTCGAATTCAGCGACATCTTATGCAACTGAAGCAATATTTCCTTTTCAGTCCCAAAATCAGAAATAGCTTTCATCATCTTCATATCCAGCTCAGTCAGCTCGCATCTTCACTATGTTAGAAAGTGCCAGTCAGTTTATTTAAATCCTTTCTTTGTCCAGAAATTAGAGAGAGACCCAGTCCCTTGGAAACGTAGCTTTGCTCAAAGTCCATGATTAAGTCCACTCTCAGTGTGAGTCTCTTTAAATATGAGCTTGTCTTTTGATTTGGGGCTGCATTAATGAAACGTCCCCTTTCAGATTTCCATTTCATCTGTCAGAAAAGACTTTTGCTATGTAATTTTTTTAAAATGGTCCCATTTCCACCCTCTTGATTTTTAGATGGCTTCATGGCTGCTTTAGAAAAGGATGCTGAAGAGCGTGCGAGGAGAAGGAAGGAAAACGAAGCCTTTGCAAGTGGTAAGGGTTTGGTCATGTGGGTGGGAGGTGTCAGGAAAAGAAAAAGCAGGTACAGTGGGATTTCATCGAATCATAGAATTATAGAGTTGGAAGAGACCTCATGGGCCATCCAGATTATATAGCTTAAACAGAAAACAAACACTCACTCATTGTCGAAGGCTTTCATGGCCAGAATCACTGGGTTGTTGTAGGTTTTTTCGGGCTATATGGCCATGTTCTAGAGGCATTCTCTCCTGACGTTTCGCCTGCATCTATGGCAAGCATCCTCAGAGGTAGTGAGGTCTGTTGGAACTAGGAAAATGGGTTTATATATCTGTGGAATGACCAGGGTGGGACAAAGAACTCTTGTCTGCTGGAGCTAGGTGTGAATGTTTCAACTGACCACCTTGATTAGCATTTGATTGCCTGGCAGTGCCTGGAGCAATCTTTTGTTGAGAAGTGATTAGATGTCCTTGTTTGTTTCCTCTCTGTTGTTGTGCTGTTCTAATTTTAGAGTTTTTAATACTGGTAGCCAGATTTTGTTCATTTTCATGGTTTCCTCCTTTCTGTTGAAATTGTCCACATGCTTGTGGATTTCAATGGCTTCTCTGTGTAGTCTGACATAGTGGTTGTGAGAGTGGTCCAGCATTTCTGTGTTCTCCAATAAAATGCTGTGTCCAGGTTGGTTTATCAGGTGTTCTGCTATGGCTGACTTCTCCGGCTGAAGTAGTCTGCAGTGCCTTTCATGTTCCATATACGTCTGGCGGGGACGGGAGACAGGGCCTTCTCAGTCTACTGTATACCATGCAGCTGTGGTCAGTCTACAGAGGGACCACCAAACGCAGCATTGCCCAGACATGAATCAAAAACTGCTTCTTACGTCCTCAACTTCTGTGGGAACCCAAATATTAGTGTTTAACTCACCGTTTAACAGATTATATGAGATTCACAGCACAAAGTCTAGCAATTCACTGGGAATAAATGGGCACCTCTTTGGCCTCTGCTCTGCATTCTTTTTCCTTTCCAGCTCTATAGACATAAACCTAAAAGAATTATTGTCATGTATGATTATTGTCCCTGCAGCACTGAAAGACAAAGGGAATGATGCTTTCAGCAAAGGAGACTATGAAGCGGCTATTGAGAAGTACACAGAAGGCCTAAAGAAGCAGAAGGACATGCCCATGCTGTATACCAACAGAGCCCAGGTCAGCCCAGGCACCCCAAATCCCATTCCTTTTTCAATGTTTACCTGCACAAATATATATTTGCTGTTGCCCTAAATCACTTCCTTTAAGCCGCTCGTGTTCTGGAAGCAACTGATCCTGCTTCTTTATCTATTGTTGTACCCTGTAATACTGAATAATAATATTTATTTATTTATTATTTATTTACAGCATTTATATTCCGCCCTTCTTCTCACCCCTCAGGGGACTCAGGGCGGATTACAGTGTACACATATATGGCAAACATTCAGTGCCAGTTTTTGACATACAAACATATACAGACATACACAGAGGCTATTTAACTTTTTCTGGCTGCCAGGGGAGCTGTCGCTTTCATCGTCCACCTGCGACACCGGTGAAGTACCTCCGCATTCCCCGCATGCTTCCCCGCTGGAATGCTTTGCTGGAATCTTCTTTATGGCCTCATAAATTAGTTAATTTAGCCTCCCCACACATTAAGGTGGTACCTTATTTTCCTAGTTGACAGATGCAACTGTCTTTCGGATTGCAAAGGTCGACAACATGCTACACACAATTGGTTGGAAACCCACTCCAACCCAGGCTGGCTTTGAACTCATGACTTTTTGGTCAGAGTGATCTTTAATGCAGCTGACACTCAGCCAGCTGCGCCACAATAATAATAATAATAATAATAATAATAATAATAATAATAATAATAATAATAGAGTTATCCTTAAAGTAAGGTTACAAGGCATGTAGCCCTTGTGGGGAATTTTTATGGGGGAAGTTGTCCTGTAGTGGGAAGCCAGCAGAAGCAAATGAGCGGAAGCAAACTTGTGCACCAGCTGTGCCCATACCTTGGGAAATCTGACTTGGCCACGGTAGTCCATGCTCTGGTTACATCCCGTATAGACTACTGCAATGCTCTCTACGTGGGGTTGCCTTTGAAGACTGTTCGGAAGCTTCAAATGGTCCAACGTTCAGCAGCCAGGATACTGACAGGAGTGGCACTCAGGGAGCATACAACTCCTCTGTTGTGCCAGCTCCACTGGCTGCCAATTTGCTACCAGGCACAATTCAAAGTGCTGGCATTAGCCTATAAAGTCCTAAACGGTTCTGGCCCAACTTACCTGTCCGAACGCATCTCCTTCTATGAACCCGCTAGGATGTTAAGATCATCTGGGGAGGCCTTGCTCTTGGTCCCGCCTGCTCTCGGTCATGCAATCATGCTGGCCACATGACCTTGGAGGTGCCTATTTACAATGCCGTCTCTTCAGCTTAGAAATGGAGATGAGCACCAACCCCCAGAGTCAGACACGACTGGACTTAATGTCAGGGGAAAACCTTTACCTATGTCCTTATGGGTGCCTTTGATTACCTCCCCGTTTAAAGCGGTACCTATTTATCTACTCACATTTCTTTTTTTCAATCTGTTAGGTGGGCAGGGAGCTGGGGCTGACAGCGGGAGCTCACCCCTGACCCAGGCTTGAACTGCCAACCTTTCGATCAGCGGGATTTTCTGCAGCTTAGCGGTTTAACCCATTGTGCTATTATTATTATTATTATTATTATTATTATTATTATTATTATTATTAGTTTTTGTTCACACATTTCCCAGAACTCGATTGGCTTACCTTGGCACTATTTCTTCATAATAGAGTGCCTATTTTCTCACAAAATACTCTGTGTTCCTTTTCTGAGGTCTTACAAACTTCCTTTGTACCAGGAACAAGGCATTCTCTGGGCACCAAAATGTTTTGTAAAGTCATGGCTCTGCAATAAAAGAAATCGGAGACTCTTTAAACAGCTTATGGTCGCATTCATAATTCATCTTGTTTGGACCGAAATGACAGCTAGCACTTTTAATAGATTCTTGGTTCCTTTTGTGAGCTGCCTCGGGTCAAACTCCAGGAGAAAGATGGCATATAAATGGCATTAATAAATAAGAATAATCCTCCGGCCTTGGGCATAGCTTGGCCCACCTCTCCTTGTTTTGCCTGGCTTCTTTTTTCTGGTGTTGCTGTGATGTTAATGACACTTGGACATGGAAAGAAGGAAACGAAGAAGCAGCTGTCAAAGGCTTCTTCACCTAAGCCAACTTCCATAGCTTTTGCTTTAATTAATTGGTTGCAACAGGGTTGAGTGCTTTGAGGAAGGGAAGCTGCAGAGAACGGCCTTGCCTTTCCATGAGCGACTGCTTCAGCTTATCCATCTGTTTTGGCCCCTTTTGTTTCAGGCTTACATCAAGTTGCAGAAGTATGACCAAGCCATCAACGATTGCAACTGGGCTTTAAGGGTAAGCTCTGCCTCCATTTCCATCCAACGTGGGAAAGTAAGCAACCAGAGGAGACGAGCCGTGCTTCACGGTACGGCTGGTTTTGGATTAGACCAGAGATTTAAAGGGAAGGTCATTTGCATTTTCCACGCTTTGCTTCACACATTTTGCATATCTCCATTGGGTTTTTTTTTTCCCTGCCATTGCAGATGACAGAATGGGCCACACGCTTAATAACAGGGAATTGAATCTGGAATGACTTTCCTGTGAGTCCAGCCTCTGATTTGGACTCATAACAAGACACTCACACCCTCTTATCACTGTCTCCTATTATATGAAATGGAAATCTTGTGGCGTCCAAATGGAGTATGGATTCAAATAGGACATCCCCCTCACGTGTTCTCAGAAATAGTCCCTACTTTGTATTATTATTACTATTATGTTATTATGAGGGTTGAATGAAAAATAATGCCTCCACCTTCGTAACTCCTCAACAGATGGCAGTACTGATATTATTTATTTATTTATTTGACTTGTATACCGCTACTCCCAGTTTGGCTCGAAGCAGTTTACAGAAACAAGTTAAAACAATACAATTAGCTTTAAAAATAACCATAACAATAACAATAAACAGCAAGAACAGGCATAGCCCGGGTTGTTCACCCATCAAAAGCTTCCTGGGAAAGACAAGTTTTACAGGCTTTACGAAAAGCAAGTAGGTCTTGGATGGTTCAAGTTTCGACCGGCAAGGCAGGTACTGGCTTATATGCGGCAGGTACTGGCTTGTTCAGTAGACTCTCCTCTACAGTTCCATTTTGGTGGGAAGCCTTAGCATTGAACGGCTGTGTTGTTAAAGTGTGAAGTATGGAACCCTGCACAGACGGTTGGTCAATGCGACTTAAGCAATGTATGTGGCAGGTACTGGCTTATTCAGTAGACTCTCCTCTACAGTTCCATTTTTGGGGGAAGCCTTAGCATTGAACGGTTGTGTTGTTAAAGTGCGACGCATGGAACCCTGCGCAGACGGTTGGTCAATGTGACTTAAGCAACGCATGTGGCAGGTACTAGCTTGTTCAGTAGACTCTCCTCTACAGTTCCATTTTCTTGGGAAGCCTTAGCATTGAACGGTTGTGTTGTTAAAGTGCGAAGTATGGAACCCTGCGCAGACAGTTGGTCAATGCGACTTAAGCAACGTATGTGGCAGGTACTGGCTTGTTCAGTAGACTCTCCTCTACAGTTCCATTTTGGTGGGAAGCCTTAGCATTGAACGGTTGTGTTGTTAAAGTGCGAAGTATGGAACCCTGCGCAGACAGTTGGTCAATGCAACTTAAGCAATGTATGTGGCAGGTACTGGCTTGTTCAGTAGACTCTCCTCTACAGTTCCATTTCGGTGGGAAGCCTTAGCATTGAACGGTTGTGTTGTTAAAGTGCGAAGTATGGAACCCTGCGCAGACGGTTGGTCAATGCAACTTAAGCAATGTATGTGGCAGGTACTGGCTTGTTCAGTAGACTCTCCTCTACAGTTCCATTTTGGTGGGAAGCCTTAGCATTGAACGGTTGTGTTGTTAAAGTGCAAGTATGGAACCCTGCGCAGACGGTTGGTCCAATGCGACTTAAGCAACGTATGTGGCAGGCACTGGCTTGTTCAGTAGACTCTCCTCTACAGTTCTATTTCGGTGGGAAGCCTTACCATTGAACAGTTGTGTTGTTAAAGTTGCAAAGTATGGAACCTGCACAGACGGTCAGTCAATGTGACTTAAGCAATGTGTAGTCATTAAATTCTTGACAGCAGAAGGTGTCCACCCCAAAGGAGATTAATCAGAGAATGCAAGCTGCTTGTGGTGATTGTGTTGATGTGAGTACTGTGCATCGTTGGGTGAGTAAGTTTAAAGATGTTGAGGTGGGAACATCTGACTTGCATGGCAAGCAAAGAGTTGGATGTCCTGTGACAGCAACCACCGAGTTTCACAAGCAAAAGGTTGATAGATTGATTCAGGATGATCGTCATACCACTCAGAGAGAAATTTCCAGCATAATCGGCATTCCACAAAAACGTGTGCATCACATTATTGCTTTGCTTGGCTATTGGAAGATCTGTGCATGATGGACTGTGGAAACAGACTTATTCCGTGACGGCTTCAGAAAACTTGTTCATTGTTGGCAGAAATGTATCCAATTGTCTGGTGATTATGTGGAAAAGTGAATAGTGGTAGTCAAAGAGCACATTCTGAGGATTATTTCTGTGTTTGACTTATTAAAATATTCCCACCAAATCCAAGTAATGAAGGTGGAGGCATTATTTTTCATTCAACCCTTGTATTTTTCATTCAACCCTTCTATTATTTGATACACAACATGGATCACACGTCGGACACTTTCCAAGTGTCTAGGATTGTGTGATGCATCGGAAATTAATACATGCAGATCTGAGTCGGGTGGCCTTTTGCAGCTGACAGGTGGTAATTTTGTCAGCACCAATTGTTTTTAAGTGCAGGCCAAGGTCTTGAGGCACTGCACCCAGTGTGCCGATCACCACTGGGACCCCCTTGAATGGCTTGTGCCAGAGTCTTTGCAGATTTCGATCTTGAAATCCTTATATCGTGTCAGCTTTTCCAGTTGATTTTCATCAATCCTGCTGTCACCTGGGATGGCAACATCAATGATCCATACTTTGTATGGTCAGGAGTTTGCGCTCCAAAACTCTGTCAGTCTGAATTCGGACGTCCCAGAGTAGTTTAAGTTTCCATAGCCGTTTTTGGAATCAGCAGGTCAAATATATCCAGAAACAGGGCTAACATTAGAAGAGTGGTTCTTAACCTGTGGGTCCCCAGATGTTTTGGCCTTCAACTCCCAGAAATCCTAACAGCTGGTAAACTGGCTAGGATCTCTGGGGGTTGTAGGCCAAAACACCTGGGGACCCACAGGTTGAGAACCACTGCATTAGAGGCTCCAAATTGTGTGTTGATTGTGTGTTGATGGTTTCCTATTGAGTTCTGAGTGAGGCAGGGAACTGTCCAAGGTGCTTGTGGGGCTGTACTCTTGCTCCGTGGCTCAGTCCTTCTGCCACTTCCAGCACCAGAGTTGGCCACATGTTGTGTACACATGGAGGGATTTGGCTGTGAATTCAGGAGAATGTACAGCTCTTGGAAAAACGTCCTGACTCTGTGAGGGAGCTGCTCAGCAGTGGATCTCTCCCCTGGAGTGTGGTAGAGGCTCCTTCTTTGAAAGCTTTTAAGCAGAGGTTGGATGGCCATCTGTCAGGGGTGCTTTGAATGCAATTTTCCTGCTTCTTAGCAGAATGGAGTTGGACTAGATGGCCCACGAGGTCTCTTCCAACTCAATGATTCTATGATTCTATAAGCCCTCCCATAACATCATTTCTCACACACCTGCTTTTCTACTGCTTATCTCTAAACACCCCCTCCCCGCCAATGAAAAGGTGTCACCTGATGGCTGGATTATTATTATTATTATTATTATTATTATTATTATTATTATTACATATTATGTTCAATACAGTTTATTTCCTGGTAATGACTGCTGCCTAAAGTGCTTTGCAAGTGTATTATTTATTTATTTATGTATTTAAAACATTTATATTCTTCCCTTCTCATCCTGACTCAGGGACTCAGGGTGGAGCACAACATATATACAGCAAATATTCAGTGCCGGGACATAAAACCATAAATATATACAAACATTAAAATCACTTATATTCACATTAAAAGTTGCTTAAAAACCATCTCAGGACACCATTTTGCCTCATTGCACTGCCCCAAAGCCTTGGTCCCACAGCCATCCTTCTGAAGGACAGGAGGGAGGGAGGTGATTGCCAGGAAGAGAATTCCACAACCAGGGGGCAATCACTGAGAAGGCCCTGTCTCTCGTCACCACCAAACGCACCTGTGATGGTGGCGGGACCTTTCCAGAAGATCTTAGTTTCCACAGTGGTTCGTAAAGGGAGATGCATTCAGACAGGTAAACTGGGCCGGGGCCATTTAGGGCTTTATAGGCCAAAGCCAGCACTTTGAATTGTGCCTGGTAGCTAACAGGCAGCCAGTGGAGCTGGCATAACATGGGAGTTGTGTGCTGCCTGTATCCTCATGCCCCAGTTATTAACCTGGCTACTTCTCGTTGGACTATTTGAAGCTTCCAAACCGTCTTCAAAGGCAACCCCACGTAGAGCGCATTGCAGTAGTCTATCCTGGATGTAACGAAAGTGTGGACCACCATTCCCAAGTTGAAGGTGTTGCATCAGTTCTGAGTCATGTATTAACCTTAAATTATTTTCCTGTCTCAAGAGATATAGACAAGCCTTCCTTAACACCTATTCTGCCTTTTGATTCAAAACATCAATGGGAAGTTTTTCACTCCGGGGAAAGGAAGGATTAACATTCATGCCTGCACAATGTGAAACTAATCTCCCAGCTTCTCATTTGTTTCAATTCAAATATTTAATCTAAGATGGATGTAATTAATGATAAATTAATTACTTTGCAGCACCCCCAGAGTTCTGTGTCAACACCTCAACTTAGTATTCTAGTTCAATTCATTCTGCAAATGTGACATTCGCTTCACGCTCGAGCAAGAAACCGCTCAACCAATGTCGCATGCTAAGTGGGTTTCAAAATCCAGATTTCCATTGAATCGGTGTCTTCCTGAAATACCTTAATGGTTTTTGCTCAGTTGTATTCATGGTCTTCTTCCGGGCTTTCATCCTGGGATCTGTCTTCAAGAAATAGTCCTTTTCTCAGTATTTGGGAGCTGAGAGAGAGAAGGCTAACTTTCTTGTTAGCAGTTATGTTTGTTAGACACATACACACACTCAATATGAATGCATTCCGCCCTGTTGCTCTCCTTGGTGAAACCTGAGTCCTTCATTCCAACTCTAGGAAAAGAAAATGACAATGAGATGCTTTTTTTGGGGGGGGGGTACTCTTTACTTAGAGCAGAGAAGGCAATTTTGCGTAGTTGCCAGTCCACAAGAGAGGCTACTCATCCCTTTCTCCACTTACTTAAAA